ACGAAGAGTGAAGCTGTGGTCGATACAACCTCGACCAGGTCTGAAACCAGCCTGGTTCTCACGCGTGCACTCTTCACGTTCTGCAGTCAATCGACGGAGTATGATACCAGCGAGATGTTTAGAGGTGATGTTAATTGAACTGATTCCTCTGTGGTTTTCAAAAGAGGACCTGTCGCGCATTTTGTAAATCGGTATAATCACCGATTCACACCATTCAGTTGGAACCTCTTCCCTCTCCCACACTGAACCCATGAGTTTTGTTAACTCCAAAACCAAGGCTAGACCTCCATCCTTAAAAACCAATGGGGACAGCCTGTCGGGGCCGGAAGCCTTATGCCGTTAGAAATAACCTATCTCCCGGGTAACCTCTATTTCAGATGGAGGACTGGTGTCAACTGACAGTATTTGCACAGTTGAACCGGGTATAGGGAGGTCTTGTGTCGACGATGACCAGCTGAACTGAGCCTTAAAATGTTCTGGATAAACTAAAAAAGACTCCTAACGATAGCCGCAGCCTTTTCGATCTGTTCACACTTTCCTCCCGACCACTTCTCGCGGTCATTACTCAAACTGTGGATGAGCTGGCGTTTAAGGGATTTGCGCGCTTTGTCGTATTTTTAATCCGAAGAAATCATTGTTCGAGCGCCCAGCAAAGCATTCGAGGTCGGGGAGTTCCATCGCTTTTAATTTGATTGTGTGCCAGAATCTGCCGCTTTTTTGAATAATATTTAGATCTCTCCCTTGATTGCCATCCAGTGCTCACTGACTCCTTCGGCTGATTGTTAGGCTGAGAGGTGATCAGATAGTTTCGCTTCGACGGCCGATTTGCAACCATTGATAACACTGTATTGTGGGCATCCGTTTTCTGCGGTTGTTTAGTAGACGTAGGGAGAATCTCGCTCGCAACAGAGCATAGTCCGTGTCTACGGTTATTGATCAGTTGGAGCGGCTGTCTTCAATGGATTCTCGCCAGCGGTGGCTGATGGCAATGTGGTCGATTTGAGTCCAGCGCTCTGAAGCGGTTGGTGTTCTCCATGTAATGCGGTGTCGCTTCTTGTGCGTGAAGTTCGTGCTTGACAGAAACAGTTCGTGGTCAGCGCACATTTGGAGTAGGCGTTCTCCGTTGTCAGTCCGGCTAGCTGGTATTGTATGTGGTCCGCCAAGAAGCTTTTGACCCGTACTGAACCATCCAGGCGTACGGCGCAAAGTAAACCGTTAGCCGGGATCCAGTCGAGAAGTGAACGCTCGGCCTTGACACTCATGGCAATCCCAACACCAGTAACACCGCGAGCTTCGGATGTCGAATCGCCTGACACACGGAGAGTGAAGCGTGAGGATGATGTTGGATCTGGAGAACGGGGGGGGGGGAAGGTGTTTGAAGTAGTGTCTTT